CGAGACAGGGTCTCACTATGTAGTCGAGACTGACCTGGAACTATAATTACATTTTTTTTTTTTTGGTGGTAATTTTACAGCCACAGGTGAGTTCAGCAGGCAGAGAGCTTTGACAGCTTATTCAAAGCATTTGCATCTTTGTTTTCATGGTTGAACAATTTTTTAAACAATTTTTAAATCAATCTAGCCGTTATTTGATTTAATGTGAAGTAGTTTGAATAAATGTGAAACATATATATATGTATTTTTTTGGTACCAGGGATCAAACTCAGGTCCTTGTGCTTGCAAGGCAGGTGGCAGCACCACTGAGGTAAATCCCTGGCCCCATACTATTTCTTGAGAATGAAGAGATTGTCTCATAGCTAACACGTGGAAATCCCATTTATTATACAAATGCTGAGTTTCTTACAGGGACATAGAGCATTTTTGTTTGGCTGAAATGTGTGCATGAGCGATGTGTGGTGTTGTAGGGAGGTGCTTGCAGGAATTGAAGAGGATACAGTGATCAAAAGGTTGTTTGGAGCCAAAGCGAACTATATTTGGGGGTGGCAGAGAGCCATGAACTTTTTTGAACAGAGGGATGATGTCACTTAGATAATACTTTAGAAAAATTTCAGATATTTCTGTTATTTGAAATTTCAGTAAGCATGCAATCCTTACATGACTAGCGAAAAAATGTTAAAGATTAAAGAAAGATGTATCTAATCGTGGTTCAGTTGGATTAGAAAGTGAGAAAATAGAGTTAAGAAATCAGTGACAGGTTATGCAGCATTGGAAGCATGAGCAAATGTAATCCTTGATGTCTGCTCTTGAAACAATAATTAAATGGTGTTAAGTAATACATCATTTTAATTAAGCTTTTTCTTCTTTCTATCTTTTTTTCTTTTTTTGTTGGTACTGGAGATTGAACCCAGGACCTTCATACTAGAAGCTACATCCCAAGCCCCTTTTTTTTTATTTTTTGAGACTTGGTCTCACTAAGTTGCTTAGGCTGGGTTCAAACTTGCTATCCTGCTGCCTCAGTCTCTTAGAGTGCTAGGATTACAGGCATGCACCACCACTTTGGCGAAGGTGTGTTGTAAGCTTTAATATTATTTAGTAAGGTTCTTATTGTAGGTTTTTAGCATAAGTAGGAAAGAGAGAATTAAGATCATTGGGATGTTGTGCGGAAACCCAAGGCAGGAATATAGGCGGGCCTCAGAGAAGTGTAGAATCAGGAGCCAAAAAGCTGTTGGTAAGCCTTCGTTCCCTGCTTTGTCCATCTACTCTTTTTCTCAGGGCATTCACTTGATTTTTTTGTTTGTTTTTGTGGTTTTGTGAGACAGGGTCTTGCTATGTAGCTCAGGCTGGCCTTGAACTCGTGGCAATCCTCCTGCCTCTTCCTCCTGGGTGTTGATTTTTTTTGGTAAACTTTTTCTTGCTAGTCAGAGCCAAAATCAGAAAATGATCTTGCTCAGTTCCTATGTTCCAGCCATCAAGAGAGAGGGAAAGATTGATTCTTCCTCATTCAGATTCTTGGGAATAGGATTTTGATTTTTTTTCCCTCAAGTTGAACACTTTGACCATTTTTTTTGGTACCAGGGTTTGAACTCAGGCCCTTCTGCTTACCAGGTAGTCGTCGGAACCACAGAGCCAAATCCCCGACCCACTTTTACCATTTTATAGCTAGCACCAATCACCTTTTGGCCAGGAGTATAAATAACTGGGAATGACTGTGGATTTAGTTCATTGGTGCCCTGCCTGCTTCGAAAATGCAAGGTCCCAATTTGGATTCCCGGGTACAAACAAAACAAAACAATGCCAAAACAAAACAAAAACCTATGGGAATTCCTTTCCCTAGATCAAATGGTTAGTAATTGAGGTCCTTGTAAATTAGGCAGAAATCTGAAAGTGTTTACTACAATTATGCACTTTAAATTTTTACCATTGTTCAAGTTAGTGGCTGAAAGATAGCAGACTATATTAAATTTAGAGAAGTGATATGAAAATTGGGCAGACATATCCACCCAATAAACTATAGAATATGTTTAAGTTGAACCTTAACAAAACTGGTTACCCTTATGGGAGCATGAGATGTTACAGATTGAGAGGAGGAGTCATGGAAATGTTCCATATCTTGGTTTGGGTAATGGTTATGCAGGTTTCTGTATGTGTTAAAATTCATCAAGGTGTGTACATCTGATCTATGCAAGCATACTAATATATTTATTTATTTTTTTGGTACCAGGAATCGAACTTGGGACCTTGCACTTGCCAGGCAGGCGCAGCACCCCTGAGCTACATACCCGGCAATACCATAATTTATTTATTTATTTTTTTTCCAGCTTTAATTGAGTTTATTGGTACATTTTAGGGATACAGTACAGTTACATTCATTGTTGGGATCTTGTACCTCTACATGACAGGTCTTGATTCTCATTTTTTCCCCTTGTCCCTGCCCTCCCTTCACCCCCTCCTCCCCTCCCCATCTACAATCACTTTATTTCCATCTTTTCATTTTCTCACATTTTTTTCTTTTCCCTTATTACCCTTCCCCTAACCATCCCACCTTCCCTACACCTTTAGCCTCTTTCTTCCCATTTCACAATGCCACAATTTAAAATGAAGTCTAAGCATGGTGGTACGCACCTGTAATCCCAGCACTCTGGGAGGCTGAAGTAGGAGGATCACAAATTCATGTCCAGCCTGGGCTAATTAGCAACTTAGCAAGACCTTGTCTTAAAACAAAAAATAGAAAAAGGGCTGAGGATGTAACTCATTGCCAAGGACCCTGGGTTCAATCCCTAGTACCACAAATAACAGATATAGACAAGTCTAGGCAATGGTGACTGTTTTGGTTTGGTGGTGGTGGTGGTGTTTTTTATTTGAGACAGGGTCTTGCTTTGCAGTTCAGGCTGGCCTTGAACTCACTATGTAGCCCAGACTGGTCTTAAACTTAGGAAGATCCTCCAGCCTCTGATTTTTTTTTTTTTTTTTTGGTACCGGGG